AGCCATGAAATTAAAAGACGCCTGCTCCTTGGGAGGAAAGCAATGGCGAACCTAAACAGCATGATAAAAAGTAGAGACATCTCCCTGCCAACAAAAGTCCGCATGGTCAAAGCAATGGTATTCCCAGTAGTCATGTATGGCTGCGAGAGTTGGACCATAAGGAAGGCCGAGCACCGAAGAATAGATTCTTTTGAACTATGGTGCTAAAGAAGACTCTTGAGAGTCCCTTGGACTGCAAGGAGATCAAATCAGTCCATCCTAAAAGAAATCAACCCTGACTGTTCCCTGGAAGGCCAGATAATGAAACTGAAGCTCAAATACTTTGGCCACCCAATGAGAAGGGAGCACTCCCTGGAGAAGAAGACCCTGATGCTGGGAAAGATTGAAGGTCAAAGAAGACCGGGACGGCAAAGGATGAGATGGTTAGACAGTGTCATCGATGCAACGAACATGAAATTGAGCAGACTTCAGAGGATGGCGGAAGACAGGAGGGCCTGGTGGGATCTGGTCCACGGGGTCGCGGAGAGTCGGACTCGACTGTGCGACTAAACAACAAAAAGCTACGGGCCAGTCTTGCATTTACCCAAATCAGATGCTCTGTGAATTGTAGGTACTTTAGTTAGATCCTGTCTTTGCAAGACCCTGAGTTTGCGCCCTGTAGTAATACTTTGGTTTACCTGGAGAGACTCTGCTCAAGTCCTTACCCACCTGCCTGGCTCCTTGGCATGCTACTCACAGATACTCCTGCGAGGCTGACTTTGGGCAATCATGTGAGAAAGGGGGGAGGGGTGGACTTTACCTGAAGTGGTGGCAGTGGCCGGGGGGGCGGGCGAAACAGTGGCTAGTCCTGCCCCCTGAAACTCTTCTTGGTCTCTGAGGTGCTACTGAACTCGAATCTGTTTTTATTTTACTACAACATGGCGTCTCTCCGAAATGAGACAGTTGAGAGTAAGAGGAGGAGGAGGAGGAGGAGGAGGAGATTGGATTTACACCCCGCCCTTCACTACCCTAAGGAGTCTCAGAGCAGCTTACAATCGCCTTTTCCCTTCCCCTCCCCGCAACAGACACCTTGGGAGGTCGGTGGGGCTGAGAGAGCTCTGACTGAGGACTGCTCCTGAGAGGACTTGTGACTGACCCAAGGCCACACCAGCAGCTGCATGTGGAGGAGTGGGGAATCAGACCCAGTTCTCCCAGATTAGAATCTGTGCTCCTCCTAACCACTGCACACCAAACTCAGCAAGAGTGAAGATTCTTTCCTGCAGCAGCGTCCCTTTGCCTGCCTCCGGAGCAACGCCACCGGGGAAGGAGACCTTTGGAATCCGGGGTCGCGTGCACCCCCAATGCTTTACATACATTCAATTCCACGTCACTCCCCAGAAAGCGTGCACACAGGCTCGCCGGCTGCAATACTTCAGCCAGAAACGCTTCCCCCACATGGCAAATGAATAAATAAAATTCCCTGCAAGGGGAAGACTAGCGCATCAAGGTGAAATGTTCTAGTCCACCCAGTTCCCTTTGTGCCACTTTATTTTTGCTTGCGGGGAGGTCTCATTCAATCCAGACACCTATAATCCCGGCTCTCTGGTCCACAGCAGTACTCCGCATCTGCGTGTGTCACTGGAATGTGTCTCGGACGCTCGTTTGAAACCAGTTTCACTGTAACCACCCCTCTACTCTGCCCCGAATCATCATGCTTTGGGGGCGCTGCGACTTCTCCATTACCAAATTCAAAGCTGCGTTTCCCGACAACTGGCGGAGGTACCTGGTTAGAAGTCATTGTCGCCAAATTGGCCAAACGCTTGTTTGTCCTTTGCCTATCAACAAATATCTCCTCTTCCGCCCTTGAAGAGCTGGTAATGATAAGCATTTATGCGGCACGAGTCCAGCGTTCAGAGCACTTCATGTACACGGTCTGAGTCACCCTCACAAATAACGTAATCATTCTGCTCCCGGAAACTTGAAATTAGCCATCATTTTTTACAATCCGGGGGAGGGTCTCAGCTGCAGACTGCCTACGATGTCCTACTTATAAAGTGTGAATGGGGGGGGGCGTGTGTGTATCAAGCCACGCTGGTTATTTACGTTCTAAAAAGCATGCAAGCTTTCCAATTGTTGCCCGTTCAAAAGTGTTCTCGAGCTTGCGAAATAACGATGCTACCGGCACATCCATAATAATAATAATACCACAAACACACAGGGTGCGGTCAGACAGCGTGCTGGGAGCGGTTTAAATTGCTCCGGCCCTGATGTGTTTTTTTTTTAACCTGGAGAATCGCGATCACACTCAACTCCTTGCTCCGGATCGCTACGCAGTCACATCGCTCCCCGCCGTCCATGCGTGGGAACGTGCGTCGCTGTTGTTTTTTTCAGTTTGGGCATGCGCACAGGCAGCCACCTGTAGAACTAAAATGTTCGCGCGTGCGCCGAACAGCGATTTCCACGTCAACCCGACCGCTGTAACACTTCCCTTTAAACTTTAAAGGAACACTTCCCTTTAAGCGTTTACCGCGAAAATGGCCACCGTGAGATCCCGAACTGGTCTAAACACTAAAACTAGGCACCGTTTAAACATTGTTTTTAATAATGCGGTGGCGTACCTCCGCCTATGCGCACACCGCCAACGCTTTAAAAATATGGTGGGTGAAAAGCGGAAGCCTCGGGCAGCTTTCGAGCGGGGTTGTTCTCTCAAGGGCAGTTCTCAAGAGGGCTCTCTCAGCCCCCACCTACCTCTCGGGGTGTCTGTTGTGGGGAGGGGAAGGGAAAGGGATTGTAAGCCGCTCTGAGACTCCTTCGGGTAGTGAAGGGCGGGGTATAACTTCAACCTCCTCCTCTTCTCCTTTATCCTTTTGCACAGGGACAGACATGTTTGTCCTATGTAGAGAGCGGAAGGGTGTTGCTGATATTTGATGGCATATATAATGTTGGAAGATGAACAAGTGAATGAATCTGTGATGGTGTGGTTGGTGTTGTTAAGTCCAATGACAGTGTTGTCACAGTCCCATACAGGTCCCCATAGTCACGCTTCAAGAGTAGACTACAACGTGAGAGTGCTGAACGGGACTTCATTCACAAGTTCAAAACAGTGGACCACCCAGGGCTGAACAGAGACATATGGATGCTAATTTTCTGTCCATAAGCATTTCCCCTCTGTTCTAATCAAAATGATGACACTGCGCATTATATCTCTATATCTCTGACTGGGATTGTGAGGACTCCCGAGATCTCCATGCCTACTCATATCTGATGAAGAGAGCTTTGACTCTTGGAAGCCTGTAGCCCAAATATTTTGTTGGTCTCCAAGTTGCTACTGGATTAAAATCTAACATTAGGCCAGCATCACAGTCCTCTTCACTCTTCCTTGTTTTAGTTTCAGATACGGGGTTACCTTTTTCTGGAACCTGAGCATTCACCAGCTTCAACACATACACACCACACATTCCTTTGGTTTTTGTGTATGCCGAACGCCAAAGAAGAATGCACACCCCTACACTCTGTGCGCAACGATGCAAGCATGCTCCTCCTGCATATGCGCTTGTGATGGTTGCTTGGTAATGCCAGTGCCCTGGATGGGAGCAGCAGGAAGTGTCCATCGGAGAGGCAGCGGCTGTGTAGCAGTTAGAGCAGCAGGGCTGTTCGAATCCTCAGTCTGCCACAGAAGCTAGTTGGGTGACCCCAGGCCAGTCACACGCACGCAACCGGCTCGACCTTCCAGGACTGTTGTATGCGATTGTAACGTGAAGGAAGGGAGAATGATTTACACCGCACCCTAAGTTTGGAGGGAGAGTGGGATTTTGTCTTCTCCCTTGGGATAAAAAGGACTCAACCAACGCGCCCTCCAAGCGGTGGAGCCTCGTGAGCAAAAATCCTACTTTGTGAGCTACCGGCATTAAAGTGGTGAGCGAGCAATCTGACTCCTGCATCAATTAGTTTGCTCTGGAGCCATCCCTTCCTGAGCGGAGACAGACATGTGTGAGCCGGAGGCTAAAGAACTGTGAGCTAGCTCACACTAACTCGGCTTAGAGGGAACAGTGGACTCAACACCAGCGACGGCAGAGGGCAAGAGAAAGAGACGCGGGCCGGCAGACTTACTCCAGGCTGGCGAGGCTCTGGTTGAACTGCAACGCTTGGCTGAGGGCTTCGGCGGCTCTGCATTGGAGGAAGTTCCACTGCAAGCTGGAGGAAAGGGAACGGGGCAGAGACGTGAGAAGCGGGCCGTGCAGAGGGACCCTCGCGCGACACAAGTTCGCCCAGGGCCGGGTTTTAAAGTGGAAGCGGGCATCCAATCCGGCACAGCGGCCCCGCATTGCCTGGAAGCACCCATCTCAAGTCTGGTTCGGGCTGGGATGACTTAGGGGTACAAACCTTGCACCCCAGAATGGGTGACCGTCACACACGCTTCGCCTCCGCCGGACTGCTCGGCAGCAACCTCTTTGTGCAGTCAAAAAACAAAGCCCCAACCCCCGTCCAGCGAGCTTCCGGATGTGGCCACGAGCCACGCTCCCCTCAGCCAAAGACCAGGCCTGAACCGTGCCCAAGGAATGTGCGCCCCCCAAAAAAACTTACTGTAGGGAAGTGAGCGCCTGGTTCTCCTTCAGTGCCAGCGCAATGGCCTGGGCACCTTCGTCGTGCAAGAGGTTGGCAGCCAAGCTGGAAGCGGAGCCCAGAGAAAGGAGACGCCCAGGGGTCATTTCATAGAAAAAGAGGTGCAGGAGCTCATTAGCATAACTCATTAGCATAACTCATTAG